GGAAGTCTTAGCCAGAGCAATCAGGTAAGAAAAAGAAATAAAAGGCATTCAAATTGGAAAGGAAGAGGTAAAATTATCTTTGTTGCAGATGATATGATCTTATACATAGAAAATCCTAAAGATTTCTACCAAAAAACTGTTAGAACTAATCAACAAATTCAGTAAAGGTACAGGATCCAAAATCAACATATAGAAATCAGTTGCATTCCCAAGTACAAATAACAAATACCTGAAAAATAAATAAAGTAATTCTAGTCACAATAACATCAAAAACAGTAAGATACTTAAGAATGGGGGACTAAATAGGTATTTTTCTAAAAAAAGACATACAAATGGCCAATAGGTACATTGACGCTCAACATCACTACAGGGAAATGCAAAGTAAAAACATGAGGAATCACCTTGCATTGTTAAAACTGTTATTATTGAGAAGACAAAAGATAGCTAGTGTTGGCAAGGATTTGGAGAAAAGGGAACACTTGTGCATGGTTGGTGAACTATAAATTGGTACAGCCGCCATGAAAAACAGCATGGTTATTCCTTAAAGAATTAAAAAATATTATTACCATATGATCCCGCAATCTCACTTCTGGGTGTGTATCCAAAGGAAATCAAATCAGGATCTCAAGGAGATATATGCATTCCCTTGTTTACTGCAGCATTATTCAAAATCGCCAAGATAAGGAAACAACCTAAGCGTCCATTATCTATAGAAAAATGGATAAAGAAGTTGTGATATTTATAAAATGGAATATTTTCCAGCCATAGCAAAGAAGGAGATCTTGCCTTTTGTGACAACAGGCATGGCCCTTGAGGACATGAGGTTAAGTGAAATAAGTCAGAAACAGATAAATACTCTATGGTATCACTAATATGTGGAATCTAAAAAAGCCAAACTCATAGACGCAGGGAGCTACCAGTGGCTGGAAGTGGGAGAAATGGAGAGATGTTAGTTAAAGGGTACAAACTTCTAGTTATAAGATGAATATGTTCTGGAATCTAATGTACACCAGGACCTAATGATTACAGTTAATCATACTCTATTATATACTTGAAAGATCTAAGAGTTAGATACCAGATATTCTCACCATAAAAAAGAAATGGTAGTTATGTGAGGTAATGGAGATATTAACTAACCCTACCATGATAATCATTTCACAATATATGAATATATCAAATCATTACACTGTATACCTTAAATTTATGTTATATGTCAATTTTATCTCAATTAACACTGGGAAAAAATTAAATTAAAAAAAAAGGATAGTTCTTTTCCTTCGTTATTAGACTCCGTATATTCCGGATTTATTTCTTAAACTTATGCTTAAGATTTAAACATAAATCTTATGCTTAAGATTTAAGCTTATGCTTAAGATTTATTTCTTAAACTTATGCTACTGGCAGCTAGAAGACTTGGGAGCAGAGCCTGAGAATGTTCCTTGATGGATCTTCTCATGGAGGAGTGTGGGCCATCTCTATGGGCTCTTAAATTACAGAGTAACCAGGGAGCCAACATCTTTGGAGTCAACCACCCAGATATCTCTACCCATGTGTCAGAGTCTCTCTCAAGTTGTCCTATTGGGGCCCTGACGTTCCCATAAGAGACCTGCCCCAGCTGAGCATCCAAATATCTTTGAAGCTCAAGGGTTTTTATTTATTTTTCTTTTCTTTTAAAATTTTATTTTAATTAATCTCTACACACAGCGTGGGCTCAAACTTACAGCTCCAAAATCAGGAGTCCCACACTCCCACACTCCATCGACTCCACCATCAAGGTTCTTTCAAATGCAGACTTCGGGGGCACCTGGGAGGCTCATTGGGTTAAGTGTCTGCCTTTGGCTCAGGTCTTGATCCTAGGGTCCTGGAATTCCACATCCGAACTTCCCCCTCAGCAGGGAGTTTGCTTCTCCCTCTACTCCTTTCTCCTGCTCGTGATCTCTCTCTCTCTCTCACACACACACACACACATAAATTAACAAAATATATACTTTTTAAAGATTTTATTTATTTGTCAGAGAGAGAGAGAGCACAAGCAGGGAAAGCAGCAGGCAGAGGGAGAAGCAGACTCCCCACTGAGCAGGGAGCCCGACCTGGGGCTTGATCCCAGAACCCTGGGATCGACCCAAGCTGAAGGCAGACGCTTAACTTACTGAGCCACATGGGCATCCCTAAATAAATAAAATCTTAAAAAAAAAAATGCGGACTTTGGTCTTGAGCTTTTCCTGCTCTTCCATTGCAGGAGATAAAACCTTCTTTGGCGGTTACCAAAGAGGCCCTCTGGTGTTCAGAATCAGTTTTCAATGATTGTCTGCCCTCAACTTCGAATTCCCCTCTACAGGAGATGCTATGGACTGAACTGTTCATCTTGCCCCCTACCAATTCATATATTGAAGCCCTAACCCCCATATGATGATATTTGGCAATGGAGCCTTTGAGACATGATTAGGTTTAGATGAGATCATGAGAGTGGGGCCCTCATGAAGGGATTTATGCCCTTATAAGTAGAGCATACTCTCTCTCTCAGTGCTGTGAGTGCTGTTGTTGTAGCCACCAATCTATAGGATTTTGTTACAGTGGCCCAAGTAGACAAAAACTCAGATAATACAGTTTATTCATAACCAGGCAATTTCATTGTCCTTGTATTCATTGTTCCCCCATATTTTTCAAATGCCCGAACCATTGTTCTATCCAAGGTGGTCCCCTCCAGTGGAACATTATTCCAAATCACCACTTGTGGAAGTTTTAGCAACTGGGCCGCATAACACTTGTAGCAGGGCCTATCAATGCCCCAAATGCCACCTGGGATGGGGTCCTCATTGTCAGGGAGAAAGTGACTGAATCTCAAAACTCCATCTTATCAATCTTCTTGACCACATTCAGTGCCAACTGCCTTGATTCAGGTGGTCCAGAAAGCAGACACTGGTGTTATGGAGGGCACAAGATTTCTTGTGGGGGAGGGTGTGTATGTTTGTAAAAGATAAAAAAAGGATCGAGCTAGGGCATCTGAGTGGCTCAGTTGGTAGATCAATTTTGGAGTTGTGAGTTTGAGCTCCATGTTAGGTGTAGAGTTTACTTTAAAAAAAAAAAAAAGGGAAAAAAACTATGATGCAGATCTGAAGCCTGTGAAGGGAAAGAGGGGAAGAAGCAGGTGTGGGTAGGCAGAGCGTCAGTCTGAGATGCAGAAATGACAAGGTCTTATTGGGCTAATGGGAAGATCTAGATAGAACAAGGATTACCTGTTAGAGAAGTCCCGCATTCAGTACTAACGGCCAGGCCATGTTACGGTTGGGGGCTGCTTCGGGAAAGTGTGATTTAGGCTCTAAATCTGAGGTGGATCCTGAAGAGGATACAGTTGGAGGATAACAACCAGCCAACCGCACTAACTGAAGCTGACCAGCAGGCTATTTCGTGAAGGGAGACAGTGCACTCCCACAGCAGCCACACCCACTTTGTGGTCACTCGAGATTATATATTATAAACATACATATATTTATTTATTTATTTTAAGACTGGAACGTGCATATTTCAACAGATCAGAAATCACAAAACAGTATGTAGAATTCAGTTATTCAAATAGAAACTAAAGAAACGACCATTTGGAACCAGCATAATTTCCCCAAGAATGTGTTGCACCAGAATAACTAGCATTTCCTTTCTTTGATCAACTATATAGAAACGTGGCCTGACATTATAGTTTGAGGTTTGGTAGCAAAATAGCAGAGAGTAGTTAAAAGGTTTAAAGAACACACTGTGCTGCAGACACTAAACAGTATGCTGTAGGCTCACGTCCTTACTTGCTTTTTTAAACACTGGAAAGGTATAGAAATTCTTAGATGTGGTACCGAAGAGAAGGGAGAGAGAGTATAGCACATGATGGAATTAAAAAAACCCCAAAAAACAAAAAACACAAGGCTCAATAGAATGGTGGAACTGAACAAAGTAAAATCTTATGGGAATAAGTAACCTACTTAAGTGGACCCCATCTCCCCACAAAAAACAAATGGAACAAACCCAAAAACAACCCTACGTAGATTAGGAAAAGTCAATGATGTACCTTTTACTAATCAAAATCATGGGGCGTGGCTGCCAGGAAAATGGATTAAATCTTAAGCTTTATTAAAAGTATCGTCTAGGGGCGCCTGGGTGGCTCAGTGGGTTAAAGCCTCTGCTTTCGGCTCAGGTCATGATCCCAGGGTCTTGGGATCAAGCCCCGCATCGGGCTCTCTGCTTAGTGGGGAGCCTGCTTCCTCCTCTCTCTCTGCCTGCCTCTCTGCCTACTTGTGATCTCTGTCAAATAAATAAATAAAATATTTTTAAAAAAAAAGTATCGTCTAAACCACTGTTTTCCAAACTTGTTCTAAATAGCAAATCCCTTCTCCTAATGTAACTTTATGCAGAATTTATACGAGATATATTTAAGTGTGCCCTGAAGTGCATCCAAGAAATTCCCAGAGCTCTGAGAAAGAGCTTGATAACTCCTAACCTAAACCAGAGAGCAAATTCTGTTCTGTGTCGTAGATCAAACTATTTGTAGTAAGATCAGTTCTGGTGACCACACTTTGAGGCATCTTGACCCTACAAAAGAATGAAATTATTTTAAAATGTATTCTGTGGGGGCACCTGGTAGCTTAGTAGGTCAAGCATCCAGCTCTTGGTTTTTGCTCAGGTCATGAGCTTGGGGTGCTGAGATTGAGACCTGTGTCAGTCTCTTTACTCAGTGCTTTCCCTCTGCCCCTCCCCCAACTTGTGCTCTCTAAAGTAAATCTTTAAAAAAAGAAATAAAGAAAATGTATCATGTAAAAAACCAGCAAGGGAGATATCTTCTTGAAAAACAAAACAAAACAAAACAAAAAACCCATGTTTTCAAAACATATGGAAATATCTGGAGAAGAGACCAAAACTTATTCCATTTATCTCCAGAAGGTAGAATCGGGGAAAAAGAGCTAGAAAGTGTATGATTAGTTTCCCAGAGCTGCTGTAGCAAAATACCACAAACTGAATGGCTTAAAACAACAGACATTTATTCTCTCACAGTTCTGGAGCACGAAGTCCAAGATCAGGTATCAGCAGGATCATGCTCTCCAGAGGCTCCAGGGACGAATCCTTCCTTGCCTCCTTCGGCTCCTGGAGGTTCCCGGCAATCCCTGGTGTTCCTTGGCTTATAGGTGCATTACAGCATTGTTACGTGGCATTCTCCCCTCAAAGTGCCTGTGTCTCTGTGTCTTCTCCAATTTGCAGGACATCACTTGTATTGAATTAGGGTCCACCCTCCTCCAGGATGACCTCACCTTACCTAATCACATCTTCGATGATTCCATTCCCAAATATGGTCACATTCGGAGATACTGGGAGTTAGGACTTCAGCATTATCTTTTAAGGGGACACTCTTTAATCCAGGTCAGATAGTATATAAGGAGACTTCAGTCTGAAAGAAATAACTTTCTAGTAAGATTTATTCAAAAGTGCAGTAATTTTGAGTTAATTCCCATCAGTGAGCGTAGTCAGGGGTGATCACTTCAAAGATGTTAAGAAATAACTAATTCATTGGTTAGGTTATTAGCCTAGAAAATATTAAATTCCTTTTTAGCTGTAGGTCAACAGGCAATAAGCTCATGACCTAAGTAAAATTACATCACTGTTTCATTAACATTGCCACATAAAACTTCAGCTTACATCTCCACTCACTGACTATATAAGCTACTGTACTTGGTGCTATGAGGAAGTACAAACACATCTCCTCCCCCAGATCTGCCCCTCACCTTGTGTTTTGGTGAAAGTCATCAGCCTCCTCTCAGTTGTCCAAGCCAGAAATATGGGGTTCATGTTAAGTATAAGCATACCGACTTAGAGCCTGGATTCTGGAGTCCGTCAGATTCAGACTTCAATTCCTGCTCCATCACTTCTAAGCTGTCATCTTGGGCAAATTGATGATGGTTGAGTTGTCCATTTTCTTATACTTGACTTCAGGCCATTGCCATCCTTTGTCTTTATTGCTTAAAACTTCCTAATTCTAATTGAGGTATAACATTCAGTAAACTACTAATGCTTAAGTGTGGAATTTAATGAGTTTTGACATACATATACACCTGTGAAACCAAGATAATCAAGTATCCATCACCTCCAAATGGTTTTTCCCACCACCCCACATCTCCAGGCAAACACTCCTCTGATTTTTGTCACTATACGTAAATTTGCATTTTCTAGAATTTAAAAAAAAAAAAACACAGTATACTTTTTGTGTGGGCATTTCCACTCAGCATAATATAAATTTATCAATGTTCTATCCCTTTTTTATTGCTGAGTAGTATTCTGATGTATGGATATCCCACTTTGGCTACCCATTCACCTACTGATGGTCATTTGGAATGTTTCCAGTCTGGATATTTTGCGAACTTGATACAAACCCTTCTGTACAAGTCTTTGTGTGGAGTGAAATGGCTGATTTGTATAGTAGGTATATGTTTAATGTGGGGCTTGAACTTATGATGTTGAGATCAAGACCTGCGCTTAGATCAAGAGTCAGACACTTAAGTGACTGAGGCACCTAGGGGCCCCTATGTTTAACTTTTTAAAAAGCTACCAGATAGTTTTTCAAAGTGGTTATACAATTTCACATTGCCATCAGTAGTATAGAAAACTTCCCATTACTCCACATCCTTGCCAAAACTTGGTAAGGTCAGTGTAGCAAGTGTGCAGTGGTTATCTTGTACTTTTAATCTGTAGTCCCCTAATAACAAATGATACTCAGCAGCTTTTCATCTATTTACTTGCCATCTCTGTATTTCCTTCAGGTTAGTTCAAGTAAAAAAAAAAAAAATCACAAACAGTTTAAAATTGGGTTGTTTGCTTCATGTTATTATATCCTTAGAGTTTTTTTAAAATCTAAATACAAGTCTGGGGCGCCTGGGTGTCCCAGTGGGTTAAACCACTGCCTTCGGCTCAGGTCATGGTCTGAGGGTCCTGGGATCAAGCCCCATGTTGGGCTCTCTGCTTGCAGAGAGCCTGCTTCCCCCTCTGTCTCTGCCTGCCTTCTGCCTACTTGTGATCTCTGTCAAATAAATAAATGAAATCTTTAAAAAAAAGAATCTAAATACAAGCCTTTATCATATATATATTTTGCAAATATACTGTTTTGTTGTTTCAATTTGTCCTCTGAAAACCTAAATTTTAAATCTTGTTGAGTCCAATTTATCAATCGATTTTAGTAATTTGGTTCATGGCTAAGAAATTTTTGCCAAATCCAAGATCTCAAAGCTTCTGTCTACCTGAAGAAGTTTCACAGTTTTACTCTTTGAATGTATGATTCATTTTGGGCTAAGTTTTGTATAGAAGATTTTTATTTTTTTGCAAATAGCTTTTCAAATGTTCTAGTACCATTTGTTGAATAGACTATTCTTCCCCCCTACAAGGACCTTGTTAAAAACCAATTTCTAGACTCTCCTTTCTGCTCCACTAATATGTCTATCTTTGTGCCAATACTTTATAATAAATTCAAGTCGTCCTCATCATTTGTCTGGTACTGATAATGGTCTCTTATTTTTAACTGTCCAGTTTTCTGATTCTTCAAATTCACTCTCCAGGACTACAGTCCCTGTCAACTATGAGAAAAAATCAAAACTCCAGGGACATCAGTCCCTGTCAACCATGAGATAAAATCAAAACTCCATTAATTTGGTCTTTCAAATTCTAGCTCTAGTTTCATCTTCCATTTTATTTTTACCATTCCTTCATCCAAATGCAATGCTCCAAACACTGCTCTCACCCTGGGTACTTCCTGTGCATCTTATCTCAGATGCCCTCATTTTCATTCTCCCACCTTTGCCTAGCAAATGCCCACCACTTCCCCTGGGAATTCTCACCTGAACTTAAGACAGCGTTGACTGTCCTCACCTTGATGTTCATTCAACACTCTGATTAGCCTATCACACCAACTGGCACACTATTTTAATTAACATTTGTCTTCCCTACCAGATCATAAGCTCCTTGAGATACAGAAGGCACTCAATATTTGTTTTAAAGATGAACAAGACAGGGCACCTGGGTGGCTCAGTGGGTTAAAGCCTCTGCCTTCAGCTCAGGTCATGATCCCAGGGTCCTGGGATCCAGCCCCACATCGGGCTCTCTGCTCAGCGGGGAGCCTGCTTCCCCCTCTTTGCCTGCCTCTCTGCCTACTTGTAATCTCTGTCAAATAAATAAATAAAATCTTAAAAAAAAAAAAAAGATGAACAAGACAGTTCCTTATTCTTTAAAAGTTCCCAACAGGATATGGTATGCAGAGCAGTAAACTGTATCAGATCCTGTCACTCCCCTCCACCCCCATACCTCCGATGCTTTCTAGGTCTATTGTTCCATGTTATTTCCTAGAAGGGATAACCCTGATCCCAGCGTCCTGGGACAGAGCCACGCATCCGCATCCGGCTCTTTGCTCAGCAGGAGCCTGCTTCTCCCTCTCCCTCTGCCTGCTGCTTTCCCTTCTTGTGCTCTGTCAAGTATAGTACGTGGAGGAAGCTATTCTCTTCCTAGGTCTTCAAACTTTCACCTACTCCTTGCCTCCTTCTGAGGACACTGCCAGAGACGTCACCTCAATCCAAGTTCAAAATCTGACATTCCCTGAACCATTCCAAGATGAACATCTCAACAGGATTGTTTCCTCAGGTGACCTTTACTCTGGGGATGGAACTCTGCTGGTTTCTGGGTTTAAACTAGTTCTGATGGGTGGGATGTTGGTACAGTGGTTCAGATTCCTGGTTTTATTTTCTGGGCAACATTCCCTGCCATACTGCTGACACAGTGGCTCCGTTGATTATCTCCTAGAATTGATAAATGAATGTCCTAAGGATGAAAGGAACGGAGTACTAGAGCCTCCACTGTTTACTGGAAACTGAAAGACCAATTTCTAACCTACCCTCACTCCCAAAGCCCTACACATCATTTGGCCTTTGGCTGCTGCTCCCCCACTGGCTTACTCTGAACCAGCCACATCAACTAGGTCGGCATTCATACATGCATATCCTGTCCCAGGGTTTCTGTACTTGGGATCATTGGACTTGCCAAGAACCCACCCACAAGGTTTATAATTTTCAAGTCATTACAGTTCTTCTTGCAGTCAACTCATTTCTGTGATTACCAAAAACTGCTATTTGCTGTACCTTGTAGTGCTCATCACTTTTGATGCTGCATTTTCTTTCTTATCCTGCCTATAACATAGGCCCTTTGAAGATAATGTGCTTTCTTTTATCTGTCATCACTCTTAGCATAAAAGTACTAAGTATTTGCTCAATGCCTGTTTTTAACCTTAGTATTAGGTTTACCTTTATAATCTCTGGTCTCCACAAATCTAACTTAAACCAATTATATTCTTAATTTATAAATAATTCAAGGTAACTGATTTTCCTCAGGTACAACAAAATATACGAAAACGTTTTTTAATAAAAAATCAAACCAGTTAAGAGTGGTTAATGATCTACTTCAAAGTAGTTGTTTTCAAACTCTCTGGGGTAGTAAGGATAGGGTGTTTTGCTTTGACACTTCTCACAGATGGTGGTTTAGATGTATGTTTCAAAACTGCTAGCACCTGAGTAAGTTTCTTTGGAAAAGTTAGTATAAAAATACAAGTACAATCAAATTAATTTAACAAACATTTATTAAAAGCTTATGGGATAGGTACTGTGTACTACATGCTGCGGACACAAGCACCATTGAGACATTGTCCCTTTTGTTAAAGAATCCAGGATAGAAAACTGGTAAGGAGTGGAAAGGGAAGAAGGACAAAAATACCCTGTAACTACATTTGAACTAGACTTTTCAGGTAGAAAAAGAGATGATGAACATTCTAGGAACATGGAAGAACATTAGCCAAGTACAGGTAGTCTTGTTTTGCCATTACTTATATGGAACAAGGTGTGTGGATAGCTGAAGAGCAGCCTGGGAACACCAGGATAATGGCAATGGCACTGGAGGGAAGGGAGAAATTTTAGATATATATTTTTTAAAGACAGGCTCAATAGAAATTAATGATGGAAAATTGTCAGATAGGACTAGTGTTAATTTTTCATCTGGATAACTAGGCTGGATAGAAATGCCATCGTGACAGGAAAGAAAATAGAAATGTGTTTTTGGGGGTGTGGGAGGGGGACATAAAAAACTTTAATATTAAGTTGGATACCTTTTCTGCAGGATATAGCCATCCTTATTAGGTTCTTGCCTGATGAGTTTTATCTACCCACAGTAGGTCCTTGGAGGCCAGGTACCTATATGAGAAGATAATTTCTACCTTGGTTTCTTACTTCTTCATTATTAAAACATTTCCATACGCCACTGAATTAGAAAGAGCACACAGGTCTCCCACTTATCTATTTTGCCTTAAGCAAACATTAAAAAGAAATCTCATAAGCAATTTAAAATATTTATTGACAGGAATTCCCAGCAGGACAGATATAGAACCACTGTGGCCTTGGCCCATATTACCCAAGCACAGAAAACGGTTAGTTGCAGCACTGGACTTCAATTCAGTTCATGTTTAATTCTGCCATATGTTAGAGTGAAAAGTACTAAGGAATATAGGGATTTCAACAGAATCACTTATCCACAATGGCTTAAACCTTCTATGAGAGGTAGAAATTCTTTTAAGGATTATAATAAAGGGAGAGAGTGTCACCAAAGTCCAAGTACAAAGGAAGCTGGACCTTACATTTATCTAACCAGTTACTCATCTAATGTTGAGGGCTGCAGAATGAGCATGCTGAGATAAGGCAGTTTTATGATAGCACAGCTGCCCCAGTGAGGAGTAAGGTGCTCCTGGGCATGCACATGCCCCGTGAATAGAAAACTTAGAAATCAGCGGAGAATATTAAATTTCTTCCTGTTATGAATAACAGGGATGCAGAGAGATATCCCTTCTTCTGCTTATCTCCTTTTCTCTTCTCATAGCTTCCGGAGTCACTCATCTAAGTAAGTTATTTGATCTGTGTGGATATTCAGGAAAGCATCCCAAAGTTCTCTACAGTATATCCTTAGGAATCATACAACTTAAAGCTCAGCAACATCAGACTCATGGTAACTCTAAGCAAGTGCCTGAGTCTCAATTTCCACCTTTTCTGAAAACACCCCACCTTTTACTCAGGATTTCATTCATTAAAGCATGAAGAACCACTAAAATACACTAGGCCACACTACTAAGTAAACATTATCTGTTAAATATATAAGTGCTTTAGTGACTATCTTCATTTTGTTGCACTTATCTTTGGAAATGGGCATTTTACTGTTTCCACAATCCTTTGTAGATCACAGTCCTTTGTAAAGAGAAACTAGTACATAAGTAAATTTTTACATTATAAACTACAAAGAGATTTATATCTATTCAATTTAATATTCAAGTCTACATAAAATAAATCAATGACAACTGCTTTATTATTAAAAGTTACTGAATTCCATAAAGCACACAATGTAATTTATATTCAACTAACAAAAGTTTGATACATGTATTTAAAAATATATAATATATAGATTTGTCTTAACATTTATATTCTATTCAAAAAGCAGTAGCTTTACATATTTTACAACTTGAATTATAAAATATATATACATCCACCCTATTCAAACCCTCAAGCATGAGCTTCCATTCCTATTAATAAAATGCACAATCTGTATTTCTGAATATTGAGAGAAAAATGGTACCAACTAAAAACAACAAACCCATTTTAACTTGAACATCGACTTAATTCTTGGCTATAGATAACTGATATAATAATCTTTTCAAATAATTATTTTACCCCGAGCCTGATCATCAGTATTTATATAAATAATCGGTGGTTAACTATGAAGAGACTTGCATTTATTTTCAGGGTTTCTATCAACCACATTCCTTACTCGACTTGTTTCCGCTTTAAAATTAGAGAGGTGGGATTATGCAATCTTTCCATTAACCGCTAAATTTGACAAGTGATGTCACAACTAATAAGCCAAAGCCCAGAACCATGCTTTGCCTTTGAGAAAGCAGCTTAGAATGACTGCAGAAGCAAACTTTCCACAAAACCCTGACAATGTATGCGTCAAGAAACTGTTCTCTTTTTCACTGTCAACCGCACGCAATTTGCTCAGTTAGCTCTTTATGCATGTTTAAAATATACCAGATTCTATTCAGGCATTCCTTCCACATATTCAAAATGTCTTCAGATATTACAATGTTTTATAAAAAATTTGTCATAAAAAAAGACATTCATGTAACCATTCTGGACATTCGTCCCTAAATATAAGTCCCAATAACATCTGAGAATTAAAACCCAATAAACACCTCAATTACAGGACCACAGTCAGGAGCAGAACTTCAACTTTAAGGATAAAGGTCTAAGTCTGAAGTACATGTTTAGACTCCATAGGCCTCTAATGATAATGATGCATACAAGCCTGTCTTTAATACACAGTTTATGCTGAGAAAACAAAAGTCTCCCACAAATTATTAAAAAAAAATATAAGTTCCAAATCTCAAAATGGCTTAGAAACTTAAATGGAACCAAACAAATAATTTAATTCATTTGGGCAATAATTAGGCTTTGGGAGAGTCACCATCCAAAAAGTAAACCAAATCCCTCAATATTAGTATTTAGGAACTAAATTACTAGTTAATAGCTCATTTATTAAGCAATTATTCAACAAATTCAGCCACATACTGATGAACTGAAATAAGGTATCAGAAACTCTATGTATTTTATTTGTAGGAAGGAATCTTTAAAGAAAAAATTCTCATGTAATTTCACTAATTTTCCTTCTTTGGATTCCCTAACCTCAAGAAAAGGAAAGGGGAAGAAAGGAAGGAAGGAAGGCAGGAAGGGAGGTAAGGAAGGAGAGAGGAAAACTTAGGGAAACTGCTGAAGACTGACATATTGGACATCTCTGAAGAGAAAGGAAGAAAGAAAAATGACAGAGAGAAAAACAAAAGACTGCAAAGAGGATTAGGGCCAAGGGGTGCAGACTGAGAGACACCTTCACAGATCTTAATCATGCAAAGGCATTAGCATAACACAGAATCATGCAGTAGCTGATTTTGTAACAGTGAATCCGCAGAAAAGATATGGGAAAGCCTCAGTTCTTTTTGAAAACCAATTTATATACACTTAATAAATCCTAAGCATTCAGCTAAAATATGTACAAAATACTAAATAAAAGTGAGATTGAGAAATATAAGCAGCAGTAACCATAAAGGCTTAGAACTAGTGACACTGAATTCTTTATTTAAAAAACTTCTGAACACACAGTACCTCCTCTTCTCATCTATTTTTAGGAAGAAGCTTTAACAAGTTTTAAATATCTCAATTCTCAAAAACAATAGGCTTTTTAAAAAATAAGACTTGATTACCAGAAACAAGTAATATGTGGTTACATACCATTTGCACATCACTACTCATTTCCATTATTTGTCAATTCATCTTTGATGCAATCTGGAAATAATTAAGCAGTCACTAGATACCTGTTTTAGAATCTGAAGAAATTATTATTTGCCACAGGAATCTAATGATATATATTTGCATATATTTAAAATTTCAGAAGGGAAAAACTAATAAAACTATCCTAGTTACTTTATAGCAAATATTTATATACCTAGTCAAAACAATAAGGATTAAGATCTTTCTCCCGATGAACTGTATATAAAAGCTAATTTTTAGCATTTTCTTTTGGGGATTAAAAAAAGCTTTATTTCCCTGCTAGCTAAAAGGAGGAATTCATCCACTATAAGTTAAGTCCTTTAGAGGTGAATATTAAATTCCTTAAGAGAACAGCCATAAAATTTATTTAAAAAAATTTATCTTAAAAAAACTGAAAACCATTTCTTTCTTTAAAACCTATGGCATTAATACCTACTTCACATAATATATTTTTTTGAAAGGGCACCAAGTTCATGATCTAAGCATGCAAAATAAGGAAATGAATGTATCACTGTCTTAATAGAATTTGGCAAACCAGAAGAATGGCCTTAAAATAAATAAATAAATAAATAAATAGAGAGTACATACTGTCTAAATATGAAAGTATAATTCTGTAGGCCTATGCAGCAGATAGTGCCCCATGGAGCAAGTAAAGAGGGAAGTAGCATAATCCTATGTACATTTTCTTGGTATTCTGGTTGTTGTTCAACAACACATTACAGAGAAATATTCTTTTTATTATTACAAAGCCATTAAATGCCCTCTCTAGAGCAATGACTCAGGTAAACGTCTTATGTCTTTTAATAATGTAACTTACATTTAAAATTAACTTAATTAAATCTAAGTGCAAAGGAGTTTCCAATAATTCCTAAGTTCAAGGGAGTACTGCAATGAATAAGGTGTTATCTTATTGTAAATTATGAATGGTTGGTATTCCTATATTTTAGGGTATTTCATCTTATCTTCTCTTTAAACCATAAAATGTACTGAAATTATTTGGTTTCCTTTACTTTCCTCTACTTTGTTTTATTTTATGGTATCTCTATGTAGAGAAAGAGGTATGTTAAAATACTGCTTCTTTTATTTTAAAAAACTCAATTGAGGCTATATAAGACCTATTAATCTACAGGACAGCACTGTTAATCTTTGACCTGGTATATTAATTCCTTTGGTGACTAAATGTCACAGGTCATTTCTTTATAAAAGAATTTTAGTAAGTGGACCAGCTATACAGAGAAAGATCCCCCTACCCCACCCCTGAAAATGATCAAGTCTATCAGTAGTTTGGAGCAGTTGTGTAAAATATGAAAAATATATAATTTGCCACTGCAGATTTCATATTAAAAAGCAGTTAAAAATTAAGAGTAGCTCAAAGCATTCCAAAAAACATTTTCTGTCTTAGTTAAACAGGCCAAATGATAAGACTGATAGGACTATTATGAGAACTTATGTGTATCTAGTCAAGAAAGAACAAAAAATGTGTTTAATTTTAAAAAGTGGTAGTTGCTAGCTATAGTATAAACAGTATCCACAATTTGGTGGCTGGCCATAGTTTTAATTTTTTTTTCAAGTTATTTCTACAGCAGACATATTTTTGAAGTCTACCCACCCCTGAGTTCAGCAATTAGTTTTAGAGTGTAAAATTATATGCCCTTAATTAACAACATGTACAAAGCTACAAAATGTCATTATACAGAGATTAAAAACAATTTTGAAAATATTCCTTGCCAATTATTGATTGGATGTTTTGCTGGGGTACATACTTCAAACCTTTCAGCCAATTGGCCTTTATTTTTAAGCCCAAATTGATTCATATATTTATTCACTGCAGGATATGTCAAAAAGAGTGCAACAACAGGCATTAGTAAAAATAACATTGTAGTAGAAACAGATTTTTGCATATGTGAAAAGGTAATTTATAAAATACATAATTGCTTTTTAAAAAGAGAACCTAGTTGCAATATCATTAACTTACATGGTACTGAGAATTGGACGTTTCAACAATTTTTTTTCTATAGAAAAATTTTATCTAGCTGTAAGCAAAGTCTTTTCAACAACAAGAAAACAAAATAAAACAAATCCCTCCAGGAAAAACTGTACGGTTATGTGAGACAAATAAGCAAACATACCATTCTAGAGTGTACTTTTGCCTAAATTTTAAAATAAAAATGTCCACACTCTTTTGTTAAAACATTAAGCCTCTGTCAAAAATGTATTTCTTATTTTAGGGTACAGGATTAAAGGACAAATGATACTTACAAGTAAAGAAAAAATTACAAGAAAAAACTTGACAAAAGCTTTTCAATTGAAGTACTGTAACATTCAAACTTGACTTAAAACATAACAAAAGAAAATTTCAAATGAAAACTCTTTACGGATTTTTCAAACATAAATAAATGAAATAGTGTTTAGGCAGTAGGGCTCATGCTGATGGCTAGCAGGAAGTAACAGAGTGTAATCTACTTGGAAAAATCGTTACTGTACAAACAAGCCCCAATTAAGGACTGCAGCAGTTTCATCCTCACTGCCATTGTTCTTACTTCCAAGATCAAGCCTTGATTCACCGTTCATACCCTAGATTTACTCATACCTTTACTCCAGAGACTGAGGAACTATATACAACAAATGAATTTATTTTCACCATAGGGATAAACAATATTGTACCTCTCTGCCAATGTTACTTGAAAACCTTCCATGTCAAAACAATTTGACAGCAGATATAAACAATTCAATAAATACGCAATGATCTTTCATTACAGTCCTTTAAAGACGCATGTTAATTCATGCTGTTAAACCTTAGGATCACAGTGCATAGAATCCAAATATAAACAGTTGGGGTGACTTTCAAAGTAATGTTGGATCCCTCACTTTATTTATAATCCCATTATAACCAGTAAGTTCATTTCATAGGCCCTATCATGCATTAATTATTGGGTGGCAGGAGTTAATGAAAATTTTTCCTGTTTAACGTCCATTGCCGGCAATGAACGTCCCAAAACCGCCAAGGAAGTCATTGTTATTGCACAATACATGAGGACCTGGAACTTTTCCAAAAGCTTAAAAAAATAAAAATAAAAAATGGAATTATATTGACATTTCCTGACACCTGCATTAATACTGTATGACTAATAAAAGCATGTCAGTTGCCTGGACTGAACCAGCGATCAACATGCGCCCAGAATGCACACGAGTAAAAATGCAGTAAAAGGAAGTAGTCTTCATTGCCTATAGGTCACTTCCAGTCAAAGGTTAAAGTTCAAAGACTGAATGATCAAAGTGCTCATTTTCTCAGTAGGACTATCTTCTGCTAGGAGGATGATAACAGTGGCATCAACAAGTATCATCTTTAAGAAAAGGAGAGAAAAAGACAATTAAAAAAGTCAAGCATGCATAAGTAAAATCCAAAGTTAGTCTAACAGAAATAATTTCAAGAAGAACATGGTTTACATGTCTGACTTGCCTCCCCCAATCTTTACAAATAAAAAGTCCCATTTGTGTTCAATTATGTAGTAACAAACAAATCAAGTTCCATTCTTTCACAGAAATAGCAGTTCACACAAGTCTTAAATGATGCACCAGTATGTTAGTTCTATTTAAAATAATAAATTGATTATGTTAGCACATATTAAGGATTTATCAGTCGTAAAGAGTTCTTTTATGGGCAACAATTTTAAGTTGTAATGAGATAGGAAGTAAACTCCTGACCAACAATGTCATAGTATTTAACACAGGATAATGCATGTTTTGTCTTTATAAAGGAAATAACTTCACAAATGAGGTATAATTACCAAATTAATTAATACATTGTTAATGTTTATTTTTTAAGTGTATTTTCTAAAGATAAATTAGTAACATTTTTAGCAAATATAGATACATATACAAATGAGGCCATTAAAAAAAACACCTCACAGATTTAGTAATGCCTTCTGGTAACCTCAACACATTATGTAAGATTGTGGAGTTCCTAACTTATTTTACAAAATTATTTCACAAGACATATCTGAAGGATTTATTCTGAGGACTGGTTACTCTTCAGAAAGCAGCTTTAGAAAGAAGACAGACTAATGGCAACTACCCAAGAGTTGTGAAAGCTCTCAAGGAGAGTGTTACTGAAAAACTGGCCAAAATATTTTACAAACTATTCCACCTTAGGATCGATACGCTGTTAATAAAAAAATCCCCATCTCCAATGACTCAATGAGAACTAAAAACCAGTAAATCTGATTTCTATGCTGGCAAACTCACAGAATAACTCATAGAATTATATAGTAACAAATCAAGTTCCATTCTTTCACAGAAATAGCAGTTCACACATGTCTTATATGATGCATATTTTAATATTAATTTAATATCTATATCTTAATGCCAATCTAAAGGGTGAAATATACTAGATTTTTAAAATACACCATCAGAAATCTTTAAAGAAAATATCTTTAAGAAGAAAATAAGCGGATAGCCTATAGCTTCTATGTGTCACATCAAAGTATCTGTTTCTTAAATTACTATGGAACTTGGAATAACAAGGAGATATGGATGCCATGGATGCAGAACAAACTTAAGAATGTAAAGAGGGTCCTTAAAACATCACTCTTCCAACGGAGTAATTTATAACTTCAGGGTCCTTGGAAAAAAATAATAAAACTAATCACACAGACCTCTAAGCTAAGAGATGGTACTAAATTCTACCTAATAAGTCAAACCTTAAGTATTCTACCACATGACAATGTATATAGTAAGAAAAGTGAGACAAAATTCAACCTGAACATCATGTACCTAATCACCAATAATAAGATTTTATCTCCAAAAGGTATATCATCTTTGATAGACTACAACATAAATGTATTTCCATCAGGTTGTTCCTTCTGAAGTACTCCAGTATAGTAAGTGCTGTAAAATGTGCTACAATCCACCAAAATGATTAAGAAATCCATATAAAGCTATTCTCCCTAGCCCAATCCCTACCTTGGATTAGATGTTTAAAAAAAAAAAAAAATAGGACTAATATTCCCTGCCTTGAATACTCTATCTTTAGAGAAATAAACTTATTAAGTAAGTTTTGAAAATAGAATTCTATTATCTCTGATAGTTGGACCCACAGGGACACAATGACTTAAACATTACAAATCTGTCACAGCTCTAAGTAATCAAAGAATCTACAAGCAAATACTTAAGTATGGAGACAAGTATGAGCTAAAGCCATGGCTAACTTTTCCCCAAATAAATAGGCCATCACTAAGAAGTAAAAAATCCATTTGTTACCAAAAGGAATACTGTTTCCTAGCTAGATAAAAAACATTGAATCTAAGATGGTTTACAAAAAAAAAGTTGTTAGAGCAAACCCATCGTGGATCAAGACAAATATAAGTCTGTAAAATATGATCAAAGAACTCAGTATTTCTAGCCTCTTGACTAAGTATTTGTAGCAAGATGAAGGCCTGAAAAAAAAAATCTCAGGTTAACCATTTAAATTTTTTTCTGGAACTGTAGAAGCCCTTATTAAAGGTATACCCTCAAATATAATATACAAGTAACCAGTTCCAAAGAGATGACATCTACCATGGCTAACTTCACTGACTTTTAGGAAATATGAGTGAGAGAGAACTACATTAGAAGAAGGTCAATAGTTTTCCCCAGAGCATAAAAACTATCACATTTTAATGGACTTCACAACCATCACATTATATTAGAGACTACTTCCCTGGATATTCCCAAAGACTAAAGACTAGAAGAAAAGGAACACAGTAATAAGTCAGTAGATATGAAGTAGGATTTCACTTCCAAGACAAGACTAAATCTTTGGAGTACCTGGGTGGTTCGGTTGGTTAAGCAACTACCTTAGGTTCAGGTCATGATCCTGGAGTCCTGGGATCAAGCACCGCATAGGGCTCCCTGCTCAGCGGGGAGTCTGCTTCTCCCTTTGCCCCTCCCTCCTCTCGTGCTCTCTCATTCTCTCTTTCAAATAAATAAAATATTTTTTTCAATGAATTTTTAAAAAGATTTTATTTATTTGTCAGAGAGAGACAAAGAGTGAGTGAGCACAAGCAGGGAGAGCAGCAGGCTGAGGGAGAAGCAGGCTCCCCGCTGAGCTGGGAGCCTACCCAATGTGGGACTCGATCCTAAGACTCTGGGATCATGACCTGAGCCAAAGGCGGGCACTTAACCGTCTGAGCCACCCAGGCGTCCCATAAATAAAATCTTAAAAACAAAACAAAACTAAACTCTTTTTTTTTTTTAAAGATTTTATTTATTTATTTGTCAGAGAGAGTGAGCACAGGCAGACAGAGTGGCAGGCAGAGGCAGAGGGAGAAGCAGGCTCCCCGCTGAGCAAGGAGCCGGATTTGGGACTCGACCCCAGGACGCTGGGATCATGACCTGAGCCAAAGGCAGCCGCTCAACCAACTGAGCCACCCAGGCATCCCTAAACTAAATCTTTACACATAGGTTTGTATCTCAACAGTTTAGGAATTAAAGGTTTTTTTTGTTTGTTTTTATGAATCAACTAAGAAAGATTCCATAGAAGACAAGAGAATTGTTATCCAGCAAGAAATAAAAGGAAAAAAACTGTTAGACTGAGTAAAATCTGGACTTAGGAATTCAGAAAGTGATTCTCTAATCCTAAAAGGTACTGCAAATTAAGAAAAAGTTCTCAAATAACATAGGTAATTCTATGGACAGCTATAAAGCAGGAAGAAATTGTGTTAATACTAGTCTGAGATGACTGTGTTCGTATCACTTTATAATCCTTAGAATTCTACAGTAAATGTTCCAGCTGAATGGAATCAGAAGAGTCTACAGTTTTGTAAAACAAGAAGATATTCTCTACTCCTCCCCAAATTTATAAACTTAACAGTTTATTGGACGTAACAGCTAAACATCATGCCAATCTATTTCCTAGTAAGCCTAGTCTTCTGAAGCCAATACTCAATTACAGTCTTAAGCTGTACTGCTCAATTCTGTATCACATTAAGGAAAATGCTTCAGGAACCAGATCAGTACTGCCATCTGTGGAAAGCAATCATTTATGAAACTTAATTGTGTATGTTTAATCTGGATGCTAGGAAACAGATGGATCGTATTATTAACGAATTCTATTATCTTATTTGAAATATTTTTATGGTCCCATAAAAAGATACTTTTTATCTTTTTCAAGCGCAATTATGTCTATTGTATGATTTTAAACTTTAACACTCATTCATTCGTGTACTAAACTGTATACATTTGTTTTCTTTTCTTTTTTTTTTTTTTTTAAAGATTTTATTTATTTATTTGACAGAGAGAGATCACAAGTAGGCAGAGAGGCAGGCAGAGAGAGAGGAAGGGAAGCAGGTTCTCTGCTGAGCAGAGAGCCCGATGTGGGACTCGATCCCAGGACCCTGAGATCATGACCTGAGCCGAAGGCAGCGGCTTAACCCACTGAGCCACCCAGGCGCCCCTACATTTGTTTTCTATGGACCATTCTAGCCCTGAATTATAGGTCAATTCCTCAGCCCCTTTGTATGCTGAAATGAGTTGTCTATTCAAATACCTATTTTGGTTAGTTCCCTTTGTTAATTTTTTTAATTTTTAACCCTATTGTGTTTAATTGATTTTTCAAAGCATATGGGCCTCTGGCTAAATTTACAACACAGAATATTTGCATTCCAAGGCAGATATGACCTTAACCCTTTAGTGAATAGAAACTGTAAAAGTAATAAAATTCTGGAGAACAGGTTGATCGCAAACTTCAAGTAAGTAACAATAAGGAGTATGCATTCACATATCAATAACTTTTTACACTTTAATAGGAGCTAGAGAAGTAGTTCAAAAGAAATGCAAATGGACGCCTGGGTGGCTCAGTGGGTTAGGCCTCTGCCTTGGGCTCAGGTCATGGCCTTGGGGTCCTGGGATCGAGCCCCGTGTCAGGCTCTCTGCTCACCGGGGAGCCTGCTTCCCACCTCCCTCTGCCTGCCTCTCTGCCTGCTTGTAATCTCTCTCCCCGTCAAACAGATCAATAAAATCTTTAAAAAAAGAAAAGAAAAAAGAAAAGAAATGCAAACAGAAATGCCTAAGGTATGATACCACAAGTAACAGTAGGGTAGCAGTTGACTGGCCTACATTTTCAAGATATACCAACAATGTGGAAGATAGTTTAAGTTGAAAGAGACTTTTTTTCCAAGAACTTAACAATGGTTATCTAGCTGCTCAATTTTGGTGTATCAGTGGAATCCTACTCTTCTATAACCAGACATCTACTGAATTGCCAAATTACTGTTTTTCATTAATATTGCATCCATCCTGCATCCAGGAAGCCCTCTCTGAAGCACACAGATAGTACGAATCTAAACCCAAACCTCTCTTGCCTCTT